AGCCTCCCAGATGTTTCCCCCCAGGAGAGCCCATGGAAGATGCCAGAATCGCTGGAGGCTCTGCCTTCCTCACGGGGCGTCGCTGGCTGAGCTGAGGGGGGCTGACCCAGCGGGCTGAGCGCTGGGCAGGATGGGACTTGTCCTTCCCCACCCTCACAACTCTACATCCAGACCCCAAAATCAAACTCACCGATGGCATCCCACCGCCGGGGAAGGGGCTACCCCCTCCCGCCCGTGCCGAGATGGCCTCTCGTCCTGGACAAACCCCTCCACTCACCCTTCCCCATCCCCTCTCTGCCCGCAGGGACGCAGGGGCTTGGGGTCCATTTTTGTCTGGGCGTCGGGGAACGGCGGCCGAGAGGGCGATTACTGCTCCTGCGATGGCTACACCAACAGCATCTACACCATCTCCATCAGCAGCACCACCGAGAATGGCTACAAGCCCTGGTACCTGGAGGAGTGCGCATCCACCCTGGCCACCACCTACAGCAGCGGAGCTTTTTACGAGAGGAAAATAGTAAGTTTTAGGCCGACGTTGAGTGGGGTGGAATCTCTTGGGTGTTTTCCATGTGTCTGAGTGGGATGATGGCTTGGTTGGAAGAGCCGGGTGTTGCCTTTAGCCCTGCCGTGGGTTTTGCTCATGGGTTGTTTTTTTTTTTTATGGTGGGATCAAAATGGTTCTGGTCCTCGGGAAGAGCTCAGGGATGTGGTGTTTTCGCTGGTAAATGGGTGAAAGGGCTGGAGGTTTGCAAAAACACAAGTGCAAATATTTACCTGTCCCGCAAAGTGCCTGCTCGCCGTCCTGCACTTATTAAAAGGGATTTTTGGGGATTTTTAGCCTGAGGCAAACAAAAAGAGGGAGGATGGAGGTGTTTGGCAGAGATGTGGCAATCCCATACAGGGAGCAGAGACTTTTCAGAGCGCAGGAACTGCCTGAGAGCATGTGCACGCGTGGATCAGCCCGTTTTTTCCTGCCACCCAGGCTGTATTTGCCCTCTCCCAACAGCAGCTTTGGTCTCATCACAGCAAAGTGTTCATTTTCCAACGTCCCTGTGCATCATCCAAACCTTGAGCAGCAAACCATCACCCACCTACAAGGTGCCTTACCTGAGCTGGGAGGGATTTTCCCACCCAAATTATATTTGAAAAAAAATGTTGATTTTTTTTTTATTACAAGTCAGTTTGGTTTTGTTTTTTTATTCAGGAGTGATTTGTTTGACCCTTGAAAGATTGATTTCCAGCCAGGAAACAGAATCCAAGTGCCATTTCCATGGCTTTGGGGAGTATTTGCATGGGTGACTCCAGCACCAGCCCAGTTCTACTGGTGCATTGCTGGATGAAAAACTTCAAGGGGCACCTCAGGGAGAAACTGGGTGGCATGTGTATGTGTGTCCACCCCCCAAAAAAACCCCTAACCCACTAGATTAACTCAGGAGCCTTTTAAAAATGTAACTAACTGAGCATCCCTTTGCCCACCCCCTCTTTTGGTACCCAAGTGCCATGCTCTGCCCAGGAAAAGCTGGAAATGGCTTTTTTTTTTTTTTCTTACCCCCCCTGCAAAGGTCACCACGGATCTCCGGCACCGCTGCACCGATGGCCACACCGGCACCTCTGTGTCCGCCCCCATGGTCGCCGGCATCATCGCCTTGGCTTTGGAGGCAAAGTAAGAGTAACCTCACTGCTGGCTTGCGGGGAAGGGAAATGTTTCCGCATTTAGCGCCTGGCAAGGAAGAACGGAAAGAAAAAAGGTGTTTGCGTTCTGAATTGCTCCTTTTTGGCAAGGTTTGATGCAGCGTTGCTGTTTTGCATCTAATCTTGCCACAGGGGTTTTGTTGAGCTAGTTCTTCTTCACTTGTTGCCGTCGGTTGAGAAGTTGGGGTTGGTGAGATAAGGCAGCCTATTCGTTCGGTGCGTTGGAACCGCTGACCTCCGGCTCCAGACGGAGCTTTATAAATACTTCCTGGAAAAAACATGTCGGAAAACATCGCAGGAAATGGGAAATGTCTGTAGAAGTGATGGTTTTCAGCGAGTGTTTAATTTCTAGGGGAAAAGGACTACTTTTTGCATAGTGTTAAAAACCCACATACACAACCAGTAGCAACGTGCTCCCCCAGTTCAAACCAGCTGCTCTTTGCCTCTTGTCCCCATCCCAGTCCAATCCCAGTTCCATCATGGTCCCTCAATCCCCTTGGGGAGCAGGCTCACCCCTTGGGCATCCCCGTGTTGCTCCGTGGAGCATCTTCTCATGAAGTTCTCAAAATTATTATTATTTTTATGGGGTGGAAATAAAAATAAGGCTGGGAATAAAGCCTCAGGGCAGCGTTGGGCTCCTGTCTGGGGCCAGCAGTCGCGGTGTGTCGGCTGCAGTCCCTCTCCTCCGGTCGAGTGAGCTTGTTTCCAGAGATGCCGTTTTCATTACGAGTATATTAAGAGCTTTAGATGTAATTTTTGAATTGTTTAGCTGAGGCATAAAACGCAACATTAAGTACCAGAACTTGGTGCTCAGGCACTCCGTTATGACAGAAGGAATAAATTGAATTTCTTTTCTTAAATGTTGCTTGAGAGCAATATAAATCTCTGCTCGAGATTCTGAAGAATCGACTGTAAGGAAAGCGTGGAAAATTCTTCAGCGATGTCCCTGGGCTGGCAGGGTCTTGGAGGGGTTCAAAAGCACACAGAGCTCAGTCCAGCATCCTGAACAGACAAGCCTCACGCAAACCCAGCCTAAGGGGGCTTTTGGAAACACCTTGGGTTTCATTTTTCTGTTAAATGAGCAGCCTCGGGTTTTTCTGGGGGTTGTTTAGTTTTTTTCCCCCCAGCAATTTTTGTTGTTGTTCCTCTAAAGGCAAGGTTTGCTCAGCATCATGTATCGGCAAGCTGCCAAGGCCGGTACTCTGCCCCAGGATGTGCTTCGTTCCTACAGGAAAATGGGGAAAACTTTCCTGATTTGCTCCAGTTATATCCTGGAGCATGAGACTTAAATACCTTTGGCTAGGAATAAATGCCACAAAGCCCGCAGGCACGTGACATCCCTCCCTGGGGCATCCCCATCTGCTGGGGCACCCCAGCCTCCAGGTGGGGCATCCACATTTAAATAATACATGCTTTTTTCGAGCAGGAAATAGGTTTTTTAGTTGTTTTTTTAAATCCGATGTGGGTTCCTGCTGCTGGGAAGGCTGGGAGCAGCAGAGCCATCCAGTAAGCCCCTTGTTGTTGCAGCCCCCTGCTCACCTGGAGGGATGTCCAGCATCTCCTAGTCAAAACCTCACGGCCAGTGCATCTGCGAGCGGCCGACTGGAAGACCAATGGTGCAGGGCATAAAGGTGAGGGGCCGCGGGGGCGGACGTGGTGTGGTGATGTCCATGAAAGGGAAAACAGATGTGCCTGGAGCTTTGCTCATGAGCGCGTTCACCTTGGCTCTCAGCTGGGTTGGGTTCTACCATCGGGCTGTTGAGATGAGAGGGTGGTAATTTGTGGGGTGAGATGCTTGGAAGCCTTGCTTGGTGAAGGCTTGGAAGCCTTGCTTGGTGAAAGCTTTGCTTGGTTGAGGCTCTCCTGAGCTGCAGCGCAGCTGCTCCTTTTGGTGAGCTGCTTCCAGCAATGGGTTTTCCATGTAACCGTTGTGGATTTGGAGTGTGACTTGGGCAGAGTGATGAGCTCCATGTCTCGGAGTGCCTCGTATCCAACAAGATTAACTCCACGCCTTCCCCCATGGGTGGGAGATGCTCCACCAAGCTCCAAGGAGGAGTTGCTGGCCCCTGCTTGGAAGGCAGTGAGTTTCTGAGTCTTCTCTCTTTCCAGTTAGCCATCTATATGGCTTCGGTCTGGTGGATGCAGATGCTATTGTAGTGGAAGCCAAGAAGTGGAAGACGGTCCCTCCTCAGCGTGTCTGCGTGGGAAGCCTGGACAGGGTGCCCAAGTGAGTGTCATGGGGTTGAGGGGGCTCATGGGTGTTGGGAGCCGCATGGAAGGAGCTTTGGCGGAGCTGACTCTTGGGATGCAAAGGCTCAGCTGCTGTCCCAGCATTTGGAACGGGAAATCAGGAGTCTGGGTGGCCAGGACAAGCAATGTTCATCCATTTTATGCTGTGAGTGACATGCATCATTGCCCCAAGGTCTGTTTATTGACCCAGAAATGCCCACCCAAGGTATCTGCCTACTGCTTAACTCTCCAGGACCAGCACGTGATTTATTTTTGCCCTTTCTGTGCTTTTGCTTCCCAAGCGGGTGATCAGCAGGGAATTTTTGAGGGCTGACAGTGAGATACCAGAAGCGGCTTGCCCGCTGGGTCCTGCATGAACGGTGACGTATTGGGCTCTTCTTCTTCCACCAAACACCTTGTCTTGATGGAAGACACCAAAAACTGGTGCTTTGTTGTGAGCATTCCCAAATTTCCAGTGCCTGGGGTCACTTTGAATTTGGCTTTAGGGTTCAAACAAGCTTAGGTTTCACATCTCACCCTTGGCAGGTTTGTCCCTGCTAGGTAACAAAGGGTGGGATCAGGGGTCTGACCAGATAGACCCTCCTGGTTTATCGCTGCCTAGCTGTAGAGCAAGTTGCATTGCTCATCAGAAAAGCAGTTCTGACAGAAAGACTTGCGTATGCAAAACAGGGGTGCATTTGGAGCCAAGTGTCTTCATGAAACTATTTATCTGATACAGACACTAATTACAACCCAAAGAGGAACGTTGCGCTGATAATTATAATAAAGCAGCGCCCTTGCAGCCCATAAGGCATAGATCTTCAAGGCAGTTCAAACCCATCTCGTTACCATCAAGCAATTCAGCAAATTCCTGTGCTGGGACACTGTGTTGCAATGGAGGACCAGATAATTTTTGCCGCGAAGCAGTAGGAGACCGGCTTCCAACGCAACTGGGCGTCCATGCTGCTGGGAACTGGGGAGCATCGCCATCCCTGTCATGATACTCTGCCCGTCCCCGGCAGGTACATCCGTCCGGACCACGTTCTGCGTGCCAGCACCCTCAGCAACGCCTGCGCCGAGCACCGCGACCAGCACGTGCTCTACTTGGAGCACGTCGTGGTGCGACTCAGCATCTCGCACCCGCGCCGGGGCGACCTCCAGATCAGCCTCATCTCTCCGGCGGGGACAAGATCGCAGCTCCTCGCCAGGAGGTAAGAGCAGATGGAGCCAGCACGCGGCTGGGCTAGGCAGCATCCTTGTTTAGAGGGTTGTTGAAAGTTTGTTCATTTTTATTTTTGGGAAGGTGAGGGGGGTGCTCGGGTCTCAGCTGCAGGAGGGCTCCACGCAAGGGTTGGATGCAAGATCCCTAAAATCCGTAATTACCTATCTCCTTTTTCCAATTAAATAAGGTATTCAAAG